GTATATTTGCGTGGTGTTTTTTGTTCCGTACAAAGGCGTCCCGATGTTGTTTTATACCAGCCGGTCTTTCTCGTTCCTACTTGTTGCTGCGACAGGCCGCCATTGTTGCTCATTGTTTACCGGTCTGTCCACAGACCAGCATCGGTTTTCTGTGTAGCTGCTGTAATATATGTCTGGAGCAAGCCCAGTGTGTTGTAGGTTTTTAACTCATGCTAATGCTAGAGGGGGAGAAGTGACTTTTTTTATGGTAACGGAAGAAAACGGGAGTGTCCGTAATAACGCTGGAGTGCTAGATCGGCGGACAAGGGGGATAACGCTAGAGTGCTGGGTGGGTGGACAAGGGGGATAACCCTACTGACACGAAGTATCGATCGACTTTTGTACTGGGCCTCGTGTGTTTGGCTACCATTACCTTGGTGTTACCTCCCCTCGTCTCTCATTACCACGGGTTATTTTAATAAGCAGGACCAAGTTAACAAGCCCCGTGGTTAGCCCCAGGCTTTTCCCCTAATGTTTAGACATAACCGAATGAGCAGGCTTTTTGTTGATGTGCTGTCCTGTTGGTTGTTTACTGCTTCCCTTTGTTAGTATGTCCTTCCACCTTTGCTTTGTCACCTCAACAAGTTGTTGACATATTGTTGTTAAAACTAATATTCATTGCCTTATAAAACGTGGTCCAGTTTATCAATATTTCAAATGTGTGGTGTTATTACATAAGTTGGTAGCCTGTATTGATTTTTTAAAGTCTACTGAAGTATATAAAGGAAGGTTGAGTACAGCGGCTATATACCTTAGTTAATTATTTAAGAGATTATAATCTAGATAAGTAGCTTCAGCTTAAATGTATCTAGAAATATAACTTTAAGCCCAGAATTTTTAACTTGTCTCTACAGGATTCTGTGAACCCTGTATTATAAGAATGTGAAGTGCTAGAATACACTATTGTATTACAGACATGACAAGTCATATGTCATAGAAAACCTTACTGGCAGTTAAACTATTGTTGATTATGTTGCAACATAAAAATTTTTTTAAGAAACTCTAAGACCACTGGCAGTTAAACTTTTGAATATGTTACAACATGATAAAAACTGGAGCTCCTTAGACTGACTCAACCAGCATTCAATAGTTGAGTCATCAAAGATATGCTCTGAAGGCTGGCGCTTGAGATGTGCTCTGGTAGCTGTGTTGGCTAGAGATGTGCTCTGATAGCTGTGTTGGCTAGAGATGTGCTCTGAAGGCTGGTGGTAGAGATGTGCTCTGATAGCTGTGTTGGCTAGAGATGTGCTCTGATAGCTGTGTTGGCTAGAGATGTGCTCTGATAGCTGTGTTGGCTAGAGATGTGCTCTGGTAGCTGTATTGGCTAGAGATGTGCTCTGGTAGCTGTGTTGGCTAGAGATGTGCTCTGATAGCTGTGTTGGTTAGAGATGTGCTCTGATAGCTGTGTTGGCTGGTGGTAGAGATGTGCTCTGATAGTTGTGTTGGCTAGAGATGTGCTCTGATAGCTGTGTTGGCTAGAGATGTGCTCTGATAGCTGTGTTGGCTAGATATATGCTCTGGTAGCTGTGTTGGCTAGAGATGTGCTCTGATAGCTGTGTTGGCTAGAGATGTGCTCTGATAGCTGTGTTGGCTAGAGATGTGCTCTGATAGCTGTGTTGGCTAGAGATGTGCTCTGGTAGCTGTGTTGGCTATAGATGTGCTCTGATAGCTGTGTTGGCTATAGATGTGCTCTGGTAGCTGTGTTGGCTATAGATGTGCTCTGGTAGCTGTGTTGGCTATAGATGTGCTCTGATAGCTGTGTTGGCTATAGATGTGCTCTGATAGCTGTGTTGGCTAGAGATGTGCTCTGGTAGCTGTGTTGGCTAGAGATGTGCTCTGGTAGCTGTGTTGGCTAGAGATGTGCTCTGATAGCTGTGTTGGCTATAGATGTGCTCTGATAGCTGTGTTGGCTGGTGGTAGAGATGTGCTCTGATAGCTGTGTTGGCTAGAGATGTGCTCTGATAGCTGTGTTGGTTAGAGATGTGCTCTGATAGCTGTGTTGGTTAGAGATGTGCTCTGATAGCTGTGTTGGCTAGAGATGTGCTCTGATAGCTGTGTTGGCTGGTGCTAGAGATGTGCTCTGATAGCTGTGTTGGTTAGAGATGTGCTCTGATAGCTGTGTTGGCTATAGATGTGCTCTGATAGCTGTGTTGGTTAGAGATGTGCTCTGATAGCTGTGTTGGTTAGAGATGTGCTCTGATAGCTGTGTTGGTTAGAGATGTGCTCTGATAGCTGTGTTGGCTAGAGATGTGCTCTGATAGCTGTGTTGGCTGGTGCTAGAGATGTGCTCTGATAGCTGTGTTGGTTAGAGATGTGCTCTGGTAGCTGTGTTGGCTATAGATGTGCTCTGATAGCTGTGTTGGCTATAGATGTGCTCTGGTAGCTGTGTTGGCTATAGATGTGCTCTGGTAGCTGTGTTGGCTATAGATGTGCTCTGATAGCTGTGTTGGCTAGAGATGTGCTCTGGTAGCTGTGTTGGCTAGAGATGTGCTCTGGTAGCTGTGTTGGCTAGAGATGTGCTCTGATAGCTGTGTTGGCTATAGATGTGCTCTGATAGCTGTGTTGGCTGGTGGTAGAGATGTGCTCTGATAGCTGTGTTGGCTAGAGATGTGCTCTGATAGCTGTGTTGGTTAGAGATGTGCTCTGATAGCTGTGTTGGTTAGAGATGTGCTCTGATAGCTGTGTTGGCTAGAGATGTGCTCTGATAGCTGTGTTGGCTGGTGCTAGAGATGTGCTCTGATAGCTGTGTTGGTTAGAGATGTGCTCTGATAGCTGTGTTGGTTAGAGATGTGCTCTGATAGCTGTGTTGGCTAGAGATGTGCTCTGATAGCTGTGTTGGCTAGAGATGTGCTCTGCTAGCTGTGTTGTCTAGAGATGTGCTCTGATAGCTGTGTTGGTTAGAGATGTGCTCTGATAGCTGTGTTGGTTAGAGATGTGCTCTGATAGCTGTGTTGGTTAGAGATGTGCTCTGATAGCTGTATTGGCTAGATATGTGCTCTGATAGCTGTATTGGCTAGAGATGTGCTCTGATAGCTGTGTTGTCTAGAGATGTGCTCTGATAGCTGTGTTGGCTAGAGATGTGCTCTGATAGCTGTGTTGGCTAGAGATGTGCTCTGATAGCTGTGTTGGTTAGAGATGTGCTCTGATAGCTGTGTTGGCTAGAGATGTGCTCTGATAGCTGTGTTGGCTGGTGGTAGAGATGTGCTCTGATAGCTGTGTTGGCTAGAGATGTGCTCTGATAGCTGTGTTGGCTAGAGATGTGCTCTGATAGCTGTGTTGGCTAGAGATGTGCTCTGATAGCTGTGTTGGCTAGAGATGTGCTCTGATAGCTGTGTTGGCTAGAGATGTGCTCTGGTAGCTGTGTTGGCTAGAGATGTGCTCTGATAGCTGTGTTGGCTAGAGATGTGCTCTGATAGCTGTGTTGGTTAGAGATGTGCTCTGATAGCTGTGTTGGCTAGAGATGTGCTCTGATAGCTGTGTTGGCTGGTGGTAGAGATGTGCTCTGATAGCTGTGTTGGCTAGAGATGTGCTCTGATAGCTGTGTTGGCTAGAGATGTGCTCTGATAGCTGTGTTGGCTAGAGATGTGCTCTGATAGCTGTGTTGGCTAGAGATGTGCTCTGATAGCTGTGTTGGCTAGAGATGTGCTCTGATAGCTGTGTTGGCTAGAGATGTGCTCTGATAGCTGTGTTGGCTAGAGATGTGCTCTGATAGCTGTGTTGGTTAGAGATGTGCTCTGATAGCTGTGTTGGCTAGAGATGTGCTCTGATAGCTGTGTTGGCTAGAGATGTGCTCTGATAGCTGTGTTGGCTAGAGATGTGCTCTGGTAGCTGTGTTGGCTAGAGATGTGCTCTGATAGCTGTGTTGGCTAGAGATGTGCTCTGATAGCTGTGTTGGTTAGAGATGTGCTCTGATAGCTGTGTTGGCTAGAGATGTGCTCTGATAGCTGTGTTGGCTGGTGGTAGAGATGTGCTCTGATAGCTGTGTTGGCTAGAGATGTGCTCTGATAGCTGTGTTGGCTAGAGATGTGCTCTGATAGCTGTGTTGGCTAGAGATGTGCTCTGATAGCTGTGTTGGCTAGAGATGTGCTCTGATAGCTGTGTTGGCTAGAGATGTGCTTTGATAGCTGTGTTGGCTAGAGATGTGCTCTGATAGTGTGCTGTACAACAACATAAAAACCTAATAAACCTTCCAGTTGGAAGTGAGCACAAGATGCAAGTTATCACCCTGTTGACATGACTGGATGTGTTCAGCATCAAATATGGCTGCGCTTCCTATGCTAGAGATCAATACAAAAACTCATCTTTTAGTGGGGTTCATTATACCTGAAGGGTTAGCAGCCAATGACAAGTTTTTATTTTTACTATTTGATTGAAATTTTTTTGGTGAAGAAATCTATTGTGTGGTGAATAAGTTGAATAACAAATAAAATTATTTTTTTTGCTGATGCATTGTTACGATATTAGATTACGCTAGTTCTAATGAACTTGTTTTGTGGATGATATCATTGGAAAGATTTACATTTAAAGAGTCTCTAAAATATTGTTTTCTGTTTATTTGTATCCATTGGTTTGTTTCTTTAGTGCTACTTCTAGTTAACTTGTTTTGTCCATTGCATTATTGCTTCCATTTACATTTCAATGTGATGGTAAAAAAAAATTCTTTTTTTCTAGTTAGTCCATTATATTACTGCTACATTTACATTTCAATGTGATGTTAAAACAATTTCTTTAGTTCTAGTAAACTTGTTAAGTCCATTGCCTCATTGCTACCATTTAAATTTGAATATGATAATAAAAACAGTTTCTTTAGTTCTAGTAAACTTGTTTAGTCCATTACATTACTGCTACCATTTACATTTGAATGTGATGATAAAAACCATTATCTTCTACTGTTGACATTGAACAGTGCTTGTTCTCTGAGCTACTTGTCTAAACTGGTTCTCTGTTTCTTTTATTTTCAGGGGCACAAGATGACAATTTTTTGACTGCTATGAAAGATTCTCCAGCTAGATATCCTTTGATTAAGTTTATTTTCACCTACGTTTAGTCTTGTATCATCATATACATTGCTTGTCTAAATTCAGTTGTTTTTATAATCTACCGTTTATTTAATTTTAAAAGATAGTTTTTATTTGTATGTAATGTTGTTGATGTTGTCTTGGATACAGTGTTGTAGTGCATTGTTTTTATGTAACTCTTGCATTTATTGAACTTTTTTTTAGTAGGGTGTTTGAAGTTATGCAATTTTTTTTTTAAGTTTTCATAACTGTAGGTTACCATTTTAAAAAAGTGAAGTAGGTTTTTTTTTTGAGTATGGTGGTTAGTTTTATGATGATTTTTCTATCCCTCTGTAATGTAGAGGTTTTTTTTTTTGTGATTGGATTGAAATGCATTAAAAATAAAAAGACCAAAAAGGTTTTAAAATCTTAAAACGAAGTAGCCTATACAACAAAGGATTTAAAAAAAAAACAATGTCTGTAGAACTCTGTACAGGATTGATTTCCCCTTCTTTTTTTTTTTTTTGCTATATTGTGATTTAGCCAGCATTTCCTTGACAGTTTGCACTATAGTGGAGGCCATTATCTGCTTTTTCTCTGTTTGGTCTGTAATTGGGCTGGCTGGCTTTCACACATACCTGGCCACATCTGAACAGACCACAAATGAAGATGTGAGTTTTCCCCAGTTTTTGAGCCTGATCTCTTGAGTCTCCCATTGATTTGATGCACTCATTGTTTCATCACCTGTACACCCTCACCTTGCTTGCCTGTTGGTTCCACCGCTAGTGCAGGTCATCTGTTTGTTGTCACTGTCACCAGCTTTGTTCCAGCACGTCAGCCACAGCCTGGACGCTGTATTTTTCATGCGTTTCATGTCATTCATCATGTTAAAGTTATTGTTTAGGTGTCATCATCAGAGTAGTTTTTTCAAAGGCTCCTGGCATGGCAGTACAATATTCATCATGTTTTTTTTTTTCTTGTCTGTACTTCTGTTAAAGATTGCTCTAGGGTTAGGTTGAAATACCAGTACTAATTAAAAGCAATTTGACCATGACTGGGAAAATAAAAGTACAAAAATATAATTATAAACTATTCTTTTAATTTTATTTTGAAAACCATGTTATTTATTCAGTAAAATTGATGTATTTGTCATTGGTGTATTCCTTTCTTCTTAAATCAACCTGCATAAGTACTAACCATACTTTAAAAGGAATTATGTTAATTGAATTGAAAATTTAAAATTAAATAATTAAGCTTCTAATTTCTTCTAAACAAATTTGTTCTGACTTAAGCTAAATGTATTTTTTAAAAGCAACAAAAAAAAAAGAATATTTAAGTTAAACTAGATCTATATAAAATTTTGTAAGTAAGGTTTGTCAAACAGCTTTCTTACAGTCTATTATAGAGTAGAGCTTATGCATGTCATCATCTTAAATCAGTTTTTTCATCTTTGTTTGTTAGATCTGTTTGTGCTTGCTTGATGTTCTATATTATGTGTGTTATTTGTGTGAAATAATTACATTGAAGGAACAATGGCCTTTCCTTGACCAACATCCACTGTCATAGAGGCTCTTGTTTGCTTTTTTTCCATCTGGTCTGTGGTGGGCTTGGCAGGTTTCCATTCATACCTCACCGCCTCCGAACTTACCACTAACGAAGATGTGAGTAGGCTTAGTTGTAGTTTACATAGGTGCTAGAATAGTCACATTTTACGGGGTTAGAGTGGTATGAATGTATGGCTAGTCACATTTCATAGGGTAGAGTGGTATGAATGTATGGCTAGTCACATTTCATAGGGTAGAGTGGTATGAATATGTGGCTATAATCACATTTCGCAAGGTAGAATCATATGAATGTTTAGCTGTCTGTCACTTACAAAGATGTGAGTAGGCTTAGTTGTAGTTTACATAGGTGTTAGAATAGTCACATTTCACGGGGTAGAGTGGTATGAATGTATGGCTAGTCACATCTCATAGGGTAGAGTGGTATGAATGTATGGCTGTCTTTTGCTAACAAAGATGTGAGAAGGCTTACTTCTACTTTACATAGGTGCTAGAATAGTCACATTTCACGGGGTAGAGTGGTATGAATGTATGGCTAGTCACATCTCATAGGGTAGAGTGGTATGAATGTATGGCTGTCTTTTGCTAACAAAGATGTGAGAAGGCTTACTTCTACTTTACATAGGTGCTAGAATAGTCACATTTCACGGGGTAGAGTGGTATGAATGTATGGCTAGTCACATCTCATAGGGTAGAGTGGTATGAATGTATGGCTGTCTTTTGCTAACAAAGATGTGAGAAGGCTTACTTCTAGTTTACACAGGTGCTAGCATAGTCACATGACAGTGTAGAGTGGTATGAATGTATGGGTGGCTGTCATGAGAGTGTAGAAATAAAACTCACTAGAACTGAAGATGTGAGCAAGCTGAGTAAATCAGTTATTGGGAATTATTAAATGTTCTAAGTAAAGATGTAAGCAAAGATTTAAAAACGTAACAGAAAACATCACAGGAGAATGGCACATTTTAAAATGAAAGTAACAAAAAAGTGTGATGGGTTCTTTAAGCTTATACTGCTCAACGCTAATGATTTTTTAAAACTATTTTCTTCAGCCCACATCTAGGTTTGATAGGGCGTACTGCCTGCTATGTAAGAATTTTAATGCCATTGGATTTTAGGAGCTGTTATAGTATTTTTTTTTAATAATGAATAAAATATAGGGAATTATTTGGTTGCTGTTAAGTGTTTTAATGCTATGTGATTATTTTGCTTATCTTACATTTTCTTTTTTTTTTTACTATTTTATGATTATTATTTTTTATGTAATTTTTTTCAGATTTATTTATATAAAAAAATTTAATTACCAAATGAATTTTGCTTTTTTTTTCCTAGATCAAAGGAACTTTTACAGCCAAAAGAGGTCAGGATAACTTCAACCCTTTCAGCAAAGGTTCTCTCTTTAAAAATTGTATGGGAGTTTTATGTGGCCCAAACCCACCCAGGTAATTACTACAGTATTGATAAAAATTTAAATGTTTTAAAATATCATCAGAACAGATGGATTTGTAACAGTTATCTATGATTGTATTGTGTGTATGTGTGTATATATATATATATATATATATATATATATATATATATATATATATATAATTTATTTATTTATATACTATAAGTTATATATATTAGATATTTAATGTATAATAAAAACATATATGTTAATTTCTATTTACGAATGTTTCTTGTATTAATGTTTCTTGTGTTTATCTTGTCTCTGACAGTTTATTAGACAGAAGAGGTTATGTGATTCCTGAGCCAGAGCCCATGTCACATGTAAGTCCCTCTGAGAAAGATGGTAATGCAGTAAATGCTCACCACGAGTACTATGGGTCCACCCATATCACTACACAGAAAGTAGGTTCCTGCGGGCTCAATATCAGTGCCCAGCTTAGCCATGTTGCCATGCATGATATTCTGCCAGCCACCTCATGTAGTCGACCTTTTGTTTTTACTACAAAGTGTACACCTTGTTTCCATGAAATACTTGTATCCACGTTGGCAAGATTTCATGTCTTTAAAACAGGAGATTTGAAATTTTTTTGATACCCCTAAAATATCCTTCCCTTACTGCACTCCCCTGTACCCTTGAGTTGTCATCCATTTATGACATCCCCATGTGGGGGATAGGGGGCTTGCATAGTCAACTTGGCGAGGGGGGGGGGGTGTCCAAGTGGATATTCACGTTAAATGTGACATCGAAAAAAAATATATGTTGATGCTACAACAAAGCAGAACATTTAGCCAGCACACAAAAAATTCAAACAGCTGTGCTTTTAAAACAGTTGTTTGGATAATTAAATCACAGCATCTAGGCCTCTATTTTTACAATTAGTGGGCTACTTGGACTATAAAGGAAATATGATGAACCTGCTGTTGTCTAATGACTTTTTACAATGCTGCGTACATTTACAGAAAATCGTAATTGTTATGAGTTTTTTTTCTCACACTCAAAAATAAATTATATTTTGTGGATGTGATATATGGATGACACCCTTTGCATTTTTAAAAGTTTTTTTGTGTGCTTCGTGTAGAAAAACCTTTGAGTCATGTTTTAACCAAACCTTTTGTATGAGTTTTGCAAAGGATTTGCAAGTTTCTTGATAGGGGTTGTGTTTTCATTACACTTATTATGATAGAAAATGGCTTGAACAAAGCATATTTTATTTTTTTTTATGCTAGACTTGCCAATTTTGTGCCTGCCCTCTAGTTTGATTTTTTTAATAAATGGTAAAAATTGGTTGATTAGAATTTTGGTATTATTTTGTGTATTTCTCACAGTAGTTTTTTTTTTAAGGTTAGTAATGATTTGAGCATTATAGCTAGTCTAGTTGTATGCTGACTGTTGAAAATTAGTCAGGCTAAGTTGCATGCTTTACTTTTAGAATATAGTCTACTCTGACAATTTGGGGAGGGATTAGTTCAGGTTACTTGTTGAGGCGTACATCTATCAGTAAAGGCACCATTGGGTTAGGTTTAAACCTAAAGTTTGATGGTTTGCTGTACCTATAAAATGTGTTTATACTCCTGGCAAATGTCCACACTTTGATTATTCTATTTATTTTATTGTTTTTTTTCTAAACACCAAACTGTCTCCCACACAAAAGTTTGAGCTTTTGCTTTTCTGCTTGTGTTTTTTGATGTTGTACTTTTTTTCCTAAAACATAGAAGTTATTTATCCCAGAAAAGCTAATTAATTAAATATATCATGTAAGCATAAAATTCAGTTGTCTTTTTATGCTGGAATTAAGAAAATATATTTTTAACATGAACGGAATTTTTAAGCAGATTAAATCTTTTTTTTTCTCTTCATGTAGAATCTATGATTTGTTGTTTTTTTTTTTGTTCATAGTTTTTTTTTTTTCATTCTACTTAGACCAACAACATGGGTACGACAACACTACAGGACAGACCAGCTGTTATTATGACAGATGAGACGCCACCAGAGGGGGTGAAGAAACGTGACATGATCAGCTACCAGAGCTCAGATGGCTCCATCAACAACAAACTCCCACCAATCAATGGAACAGGTGTGTAGCCATTTGCTATCTCAACTTTAACTGGCCAGGGGTTTTTTCTAACTCTGTGTGGATAATTGGATGTGTAATTTCTTTAAAAATGTAAATGAGCTACGTTTGTTCTACTTGTATGTAAAGTTTCATGAAAATTGAGTGGGGCATAACTTGAAAGTGCTGTTTTCACTAATTTTGCCTTATTTGAGCTTTTATCCAAGCTAAAACTGATCTGTATAATTTTCCTACTAACTGGTATTATTAAGGCAGTGTGTTCTATTGTTATACTGGTAATACTGTAAATAAATGTCAAAACATTGCAAAAAGTGTATCCTATAATGTATTGCGCCCATCATTTTACTTGACAAGAAAAAAAATATTTACTCTTCTACTCCTTAGAATTTAGTTTCTTCTTCTGTAGCCTATTTGATGCTTAACTTTATATTTATATGTAACAAGTACTGCAGTGATAATATTTTTTAAATTGTACAACTAATTCCTATACAATGTAGTTCTTCTTGTCTGAAGCCTAAGCTTTAGATTGACCTCAGGTTTAGTACCCTGGGGAAACCCCAGATATTTGTAAAACTGGAGCTCAGTGTAAACTTCAATGTAGCAGTTTTGGGAATTATACCTAGGAGAATAAGATCAGAATGTTTTAGTTTAATGATCTATATTTGATTAGTTCACACATTATTTAAAATCAAATTCAGTCAAATATATTTGTATCTTTTACGTAAGTTTATTGTATTTTTTAATTGATTGTTGCATAATTTAACGGAGTGACAGATGGTTTGATTAGACATGAGGCAGAAATTGGAAGTGAGAGCTCTGGAAAATATACCATCACAGAACATAGCTATAAACATTTTATTCAAAGGTTTACTTTATATGTCAAAGCCTAGAAATTACATTGAGCATTTTAAGATGCATTATTTGCTTAGTTTGTAAACAATTAAAATTGTACTTGGTATGTTATAAAGAACAAAATCTCAAGTGTAAACACCAGTTTAATTAGGTAACAGAATGAATAAGGTAAAACTTTAAAGACTGACAACACCGTAGTTGTTGGTGATGCTAAGAAAACTAACCAGGCTCTTGGTGAGCTCATTTTTAGTGAAAAGGTAGAGTAGGTTGGTGGAACTGTGTATTGTGATGGTGGTGGATTGAACAGGATGAAGTTAAAATGGTAGAAGTGTGGATTATGGATGTGGATAAGTACTGCTTGACCTGAGAATGACGTCTAACAGACAGTCAGATGAAACTTGAGGCTAGCGCGGCTGGAGTTCTCTCTTCATTACATTTATTGATTTCCTATACGAGTGCGCTGCTGTCATATATTATGGCTGTCATGTAATGTCCTTCTATAAATCTCAGTTGCGATGTAACAGTGTTGTAATTAATCTATGATAAAACCCTTCAACTGACACTACTTTGTTTCTTCTGATTGCATCAAAGGAGTGATACCAGCCCAGAACTGTATAGGTATAACATATCCAACACTCCCTTTGTTTTTTCTAGACCTTATCTTTCAGTACCCATGCTTCTTAAGACTTGGTTTTTAGTGTTTTTTATTTTCCAGTAAGCTTTGCTTGTTTTTTGGAGCTCAACAACAAGAAACAATGCTTTATATTTACTACCAGGTTTTATTTTTCTGTTATCTCATGTGTGATATAAAGCAGATTTCTACTTAGTTTTCCTGTAACTATTTTATTATTGTATGTATCATTAGTATTTGTGTAAGCCATACAACTTAAATATTCAACTTTTAAAAAAAATAAATTGATTTTTGTTTTATAAATTGGTATATTTTTTTCTTTCTTTTAAGTTACTAGTGTGTATTTTTAACTTGACCCAGGCAATGCAATTTTTTTCTGAACCATTTTGTTTTTAATACTGCTAGTCTGCATTCTGTTTTGGTTTTTATGTTGCTAGTCTGAGTTGTTTCTCTTTGGTTCAATCAAGTCAGTCATTTCATTTTTGTTTTTATTGAGGAGATTTTTCTTCTCTACTTTCATTTTTAGTCATTTTCAATTTGTTTATGTTGTCTCTGAGTGTCTTTCTCTAATTACATTTTTGGGAACCAACTGCAATTTGTTTTCTGATACAAATACTTTAACTTAAAAGGTCATAATGAGGACTTGATAGTTTTTCAGCAGTTACGTGTAGGCCATACTAAACTTTGTTTAACCCAGCAAGGTTTTGAAAAAAATCTGTTTTAAGAAACGGCCAATTTTTTAAAAAAAAGTTGAGTTGTAGAATGGAACTAAAAGTAACCTTTAACATTCCAGGCAAGAAGAACCATATTTGGGATATGACCCTTAACCAGCTAGACTATCTTGGTAAGATCCAGCAGTGCTTTACATTTTCTGTGTATTGTAGCTTGTTGACAGGCATGGCCCTTTGCCTACATTAGCACTGTTTCATGTTGTTTTATATTCCATGTGTGATTTTTTTTTTACCTTGGTGTCTAAGTTTTTTGAGCTGTTTCTAGGTTGTTGACCAGCCTAGTTTCTTGGATATTTTTTTATTAGTGCAGTCATCCAATAAATGTTAGGGACATCTGATATACTTTGCTTACAGACTTAAATTTTTAGGTGCTGAACTTTATCAGATGTTTTATTTGTATGTTAACCTTTGAACTTGTATTCCCGGCATCTATTTTTAGTATATGTAATGACTTCACAGTGGGGGAGGGGGAATGTTTGTCAGAAATGTTCAATTTTTCATTACTTTTTGGCTTTGTTTGCTTTTGTAACAATTTCAGAAAATGATTTTTCTAATATTGTCTGTGTGTGCTTCATATTATCTATTTTATTTCATTTTCTTTATTCTACAGTGCTAAATACAAGAATGTGAACCCCACTTTTCTAAAAATGTACATTGTTCCATTTGTAGTTATTGTCTTATATCTCCATGATACAGAGGTTTCCACTTGAGATTTAAAAAACTGTTTTGTTGTGTTTGCAATTATGGCAGACACTAAATCAGCAAAATTAAGAATATTCATACCCACTGGGCAATACAAAATCTGTACCTGCTTTGTGGATACTCAATAAATAATAATATACACAAAAAAGTGTCTTTTGTGGCCGCCTAAATATTTTAAATAGAAGCAGCTGTTTTAGAAGCTATTTTGCTTTCACTTTTTTTCCTATTATATTTATGTTCTTATAGAAAAACTGTTAGTTCATAAAGAAAACTAATTTAATTTTGTGTAATGCTATATGTGGCTTTTTTACAATTGCACTTAAATTATTGTCAAACACTAAATAGCTTTAACTGTTTTAATTTTTGTTTTGTTATTGATGATATAGGTAATTAAAAAGAAGATGAGTTAAAATTAGCAGGTAGGGGACAATACATATAATTGCATGCTCACATCCCTCCCTATAAGCAGTTGTTTGAACCCTGTCTTGATGCATGCTCAAGTCATGTTGGTGTTTTATTGGAAACTTGCATGCTACCATCTGCACATGGTTCTTGAGATATCTCTTTAACCTTTTTATTTCTTTATCAATCTTCTCCAGCTACATAACAATAAATAGAAATAATTAAAAATAAAATAATAAAAGTAGTTTGATAGAACAATATAAGTACTGTGCAAAATTAATCTGTAGTTAAAAAATTTAAGTTAGATAAATGTGAACTTAAAAATGTAATTTGTGTTGACTTATATATTTCTAACTGGACTTGCACTGATTCGTCTATAAGTGTAGTAATATGTTTCCAATCTAATGTTTCTTGAGTTAAATTTGTGTATACTAATATTTCAGTACTTCAGTTGGAAAACGTTTGCCCGCACAACTTTCATTTCATGTGACTTTCTTTTTTTTTTAAACTATTTTATTACAATATGCACTTTATTGGTTTTTTTTTTCTATTATTTCAATATGCACTAAAATTCTTTTTTTTTTTACTTATTTTATGACAATCTGCACTTAAAGACTTTTTTTTTCTTCTTATTTCAACTTTAAGCTTATGGAGAAAAAAGTTCCATTGTGGGATCACTTTGAAAAACTAGTGATTAAAAAAGGAACAGCAGATCTTGAGAAAAAAGTGTTATTCTTATTACCTAATTTCTGAAAATGATCACCAATCATTAAATTAGACTGGTCTGGAATATCATCTATGTGTATGATAAATTTCAATGTAAGCAAGAGTATCAGCGTAGTTGACAGATGACACCACTCATAAGTCATGTACATACAAGGGACACTCCTGAATATTCTGTGTCGAGTGCCCCCAATAACGCTTAGTATAAATGATCATGTTGTCACCACAGATCTTGAACCCATGTTCTTGATGAACATGCTTGCCATTTATTAGACTTGACAGCAATGGCTTAACTTTACTTATGATATACAATTTGAGTCTTACAGTACATTATTTAAAATGTAAACCTTAGAACAAATCATTTGACTGCAATTTTTTTCCCATCAGGCCACAGGGTGAACATCTACCCAGTCAACCAGGGCGGGGGCAACTACTACAGAGACCAGCACACGCCACGACACCCAGACCAGTATGTGACATCGCCAGGGTACAGGGTAGACCTCAATCAGAAAGCTATTGGGTACAGAGAAGACGTAAATCAGAAAGCTATTGGGTACAGAGAAGACGTAAATCAGAAAGCTATTGGGTACAGGGAAGACGTCAGTCAAAAAGCTATTGGGTACAGAGAAGATGTCAGTCAAAAAGCTATTGGGTACAGAGAGGATTCGAACCAAAAGGCGGTTGGGTACAGGGAGGATTTGAACCAGAAATATGTGACATCACGTGGAATCAGTACAACAGATTACCAAGGTGTCAGCTACTAAAACCATATCTTTGTTGCTAGAATTCTTTGGTCCATCATTCAGATAATCATTGCGCTAAATTATCAACCTAATGACTTATTTCTGTGTTTGGCTTTCAGTATATACATATATATATATCTATTTATTATTTTCAATACAGTAACGTAGTTGTATGGAAATGTCTGCTTAAGTTTAAAGCCAAGTTGTAATTGTTAACGCCCAGTTCCCTACTGAGACCAATTGTTTCCACTCAGTTGTTGTTTCTTTCATCTTTTTTAATGTTTATTATTCTACTGTATACTTGTCTCCTCAACTCTACACAGCTAAATTAGTTTTTAAAACATTCATAGTATGTGTGACCATTCACTGGTTTGTGTATATTGGATGTTATTTGCATTTAGCTCATTTTCACCTACAACCCTTCTTTCCCTCTTCCCTCAACACTGAGTTAGTGTAAATGAAAAAAAATCTTAGAATATGTGTACTTAACATCTAGTCCTTTCCAGTGCTAAACATACAATGCTTCTTTCAGCTTTTGTTAAACTTATTACTTGAGCATTTTAAAGATTTAAATATCAATTACAATTTTTAGTTTTTATTTTTTTTAAATAAACGTGGCTATTCTAGAAATAATAAAGTAAACATATTTGAGTTTTTGAAATTTAAATTGTATATTTTAATTTTGTAACTTCAGCACAAGGCACTTTTTAAATAAATGCTTTTCTCCAGTTATCTCCCTTACGTAGTAACACGCAGTAACATACAAATACCATATGTACATGTTTCTATTTTCATACTTTTGTTATGCATGTTGCTTTGTTCTTTTTCATAGATTGGTTTTTAAAATGTCATTCCAATTTGTTAGTGTTAATTATCTTCACAGTAATATGTGGATGATTTTCTTTTATTTATGGATTTTTTTTTTAAACTAAGGAAACTATATTATTATTTTTTTTTATATTAAGTAAATTGTGAATGCACCTTTTATAATCTTAAATGAAGTCAGTCATTACATCACTTGGATGTTCTGCATATATTTATGTCCATCATTAGCTTTGAGATTACAGTTGATAGAATTGCGCTCATATGTTGTGCCCACAAACCACATGGTACTACTTGGTGTTTTAAATCGTAAACTTTTGTCATAACTGTGTTTACTTAAACCAAATTGGGGGCACAATGCAACCTAAGGTTTTATATGTAGATGTTAGGGGGAGATGAATAGCAACTAGCATAATGTGTCCTTAGTATATAAAAAAAGAATGTTTGTGGTATGTTGCTGTTTTAAATTTCATGGTACCAAATCTATACTGGCCAGATAAATGTATCAATTTAAGAGACAATATTGGCCAGATAAATTTATCAATCTAAGATACAATATTGGCCAGATAAATTTATCAATTTAAAAGACAATATTGGCCAGATAAATTTATATATCTAAGAGACAATACTGGCCAGATAAATTTATTAATCTAAGAGACAATATTGGCCAGATAAATTTATCTAGCAGATTAACTGGCAAAATGTTTTTATCAATTTATTCACTGAGAGACTACCTACTGGCCAGATTGCTCTTTCAATTATCATTGAGAGATTATACACACTGACATGTGGTTTACAGTTATCAGGAAATTATTTTTTCAATGCTTTAGCATAATTACATGTACGTACTGTGTTATTGGGTAAGTTTTCATTCGGCTGTATGCCACGAAAATAGCTAAGACAAGGTTTTGAAATAACATTTCAGTAACTTTGATATATTGATGTAATCATATAATTTTACACATGTTTTTAAGACCATTAAAATGATTTTAACTGTCATCATTTTCAAGATGTACTTTTAGTTGTTCATTTATGATAACCATCATTAGTTTCAAGCTAGACCTTGTCACCAATGGAAGCTTCAAGCATTCATTTATTTCTGTCTCATCCTGCCTGAGGCTGTTGTGTACTAAGACAGAGTGTTGACTGTCCTATTGATATCCCTTGTACTTAATATTAAGCATATCTCATTTGGAACAAACTACACTTTTTATCGGTAGTCAATTATGGAACAATTTTTCTTTTGTATATACTTTAGATCTATCTTTCTTTGAAACACTTTTTCTTTTTACCAAGTTTTCTACACAACTGTACCTGCTGCTCAATGAGACTTTTTATTTTTCTTGTAGATACAAGTTTTGACTCTGTGTGTTTCGATGTCCTTCTGTGTCAGTGAATATATGTATAGGTCCCACACCATGGGGGACTGCCGTCTACATTCATGCTGGGTATAGCAGCTGGCTAGATGGAACTAGATTGAAACTTAGAAGAATTTGTAGCATAGAAACAATTTGTGATATCAGCTGCCAGTGGCTGGGAGATACAACATTGGAACTTTTCCTTAAGTCATTTGTTTTGCATCATTGAAGCTGTTGTTTTTTTTAAACGACTTTGATCTTTATTTTTATTTTTTTTCATTAGAGAAATTTGCACCTTACACAGATAGATTCACAATTTATAAAATTTGTTTGTCAGAGTTGAGTAGCGTAGTCAGCTATGTGAGTTTTTTCCCAGGGACATTATTTTTATTCTTACAAAATAAAATAATAAAAACAGCTATCACTTACAATGCCATGACTTGCTGTGCAATTTGCATAATTATTTTTCATGGGTATATTCTTCATATTAATGCAGTCATCCTTTTGTTTTACTGTTGCCATGGTTACCTAGCTGAGAGTTCCTTGTTTTCATCACAGACCTCCAACACTATTCAGCTCTCTTCTTGGTCCATCTCTCTCAACTTGAGTTGTATTGTGACTTACCAGTTGTCTTCAGGAGTACCTACAATTCTAGGTTACATGCTATAACTTCATTCAGGCTTTTTAGATAACTTTCCACAAATTTTAATTATTTTTTTCTCAAGTAATCTATTCAGGACGTGTTAATCACAGATTTAAAGATGAAAATTAGTTTGTTTACGGTTTTGTTTTCTTAATGGAGGAAATGCCTGTATTATTTAATATAGTTGACAAAAATATCATTGCCAGCAACATAAGACTGTACATAATGAATGGTCTCAACTTCTCACTGTGAATATTTTACATCTGTGTCATCATTCATTCTTTACCTTTTTGATTCACCTTTTTGATCTTGGTGTGTTTGGGTAAATTAAGTGTGATAATGGTTCTCTCATTTAGTATGACCTAACGTAAGCTGGGCACATACTACTACACGTTTTTTTTTTTTAAATATTCCGGTTATGATTTTTTTTAATAATATAGTTCTAACTAATTTAACCCTAAACAGTTTAAATTAAGTTTTCTAAAACTGTTCTATTTCCGACTTCTGCTTTTCTTTTATTTCTTTTTTTTTTTTTAATAGAAGAGTCCATGATGCCAATATAAATAGTTTTGAAGCGCCTAAATTAAATCCTGACATAGCTGAAGGCATATGGGTAAAGCTGGTAAGAAAATAAGAGAAACATTACCACACGTCTCTCATATTTTTAATGTAGTCATCCAATGTTGCCTATATTCAATAACCTTATCTGTGTACTCATTGGTTACTTGAGTGTCAATCATCTCCATCACCATAGCAACATCACTGTACTGGATCCACCCATTATTTTAGTGTTGTTCCAAGGGTGACCACGCCATGTGGGCCGTGTCTGTGTTACAATCTCCTGAGTCAGTGTTAGTCTTGTCTACACACCTACAAGTCTTTGGTTAGGGCTGATGAAGAAGCTTATGTCAAATAAAGATGATCCAACTCATGAGTCGTGTTGTTGATCTTCTCGTTGGTAGGACTGAACTAGATGGGGGAGGGTGCCGTAGGGCAGGATCCTAGGGTGGGGGGGGGGGGGGGACTCATCGGACCAATAGCGGCATCCTATACACTATACATCTAAACATGGATCTGTGGAAGCACTATCAGGACAGCAGGGTTTCTTTCAGCATGTTCCCTCAGACGAAATACAAAAATCTATTATATATAGTTAATATATACTTTAGCCATTGCCCCTCCCCCAGGAGAATAAATGTCTGAAAGAAACCCTATATAATGGAAGTTAAGACAGTCTTCGGGTGTTTTATCACACAAACTTGAGAAAGACTGATTTCCCTTACTGTTTTTTAATGAAACTGATTATTTTCAGCATAAAAACCTACAGTGAATTAAGTCCAAATATTTTACTTCTTAATTAAAGTTGCTATAGAATAATAGGCATAGATCTATACAATAGCCGTAGCCATCAAACCCGTGTTGTTGTTTGTATTATCTCTCTGTAGGCCTAAAAAAAATGTGTGAATGCCCACATCAGGCGTACATTTCTTTAAACTTCACAAATTTAAGAAATATATAGGTTCATAGTTTTCTTTATAAAGACAAAAAAAAAATGGCACAGAGAGGCACTTGGACACTACTTTATCTCACAGTTGTCTTTATTTAATTAACAAATGCTTAAGATCTTTTATGTAAAATTAATGGTTCTGCGGAGCTTAAAATATGTTAGCTGTCCAGACAGTCGCTGCAACTGAACATTGATAGCCATTAAAAGCGATAGTTAAGAGACATTAAAGCTGACAGCTTGCAAAAAAAATGACAGGCATTTAATCACAACAAACCCAATCGTGGAACTAGACATCAATGCTAGTAATTTTTTGTTTTCTAGAGCTGTGGTTCTTAACCTTTTTTGAGGCACCGAACTCCACTATTTTATGTGCGCATTCACAGAACCCCTACGTAATAACTGTTTTACTAAAGTCCGCCTGTCTATACAAGTAATGTCGAATTCTAGATAACGTCCAAAAACGTCAATATTAATGATGTCAAATTCTAGAGCGTCTAGCAATTTGTATTTGCCAGTTAATATCAAATTCTAGATCGTCTAGATATGTGTCTATGCCAAAATGTTGAATTCTAGAGCGTCCAAAAATCTGCCTGTGTTTGGCTTACTCCCAAGACAACTGTGAAAACGGATTAAAAGCTTTGTCTTATCGCCGCTTACCTTCCTCAGATAACCCTGTCAGTACCTAGATCTCGTCTGCTGTGTGAAAGCTTATTGATTTTAGAATTAGTTGATCGGCCCGTCCTGTCTGCTTCGACAGATATTTGCGTCAGACTTTGAAGTCACGGTGACTCTTGAGTCTAAATACTCAAGACATTGCGATCATTGCTAAACGCGAAACGTTTGATTTATTGCCGTATTTTAAAAATACTTTAACACACTTTTCCTGATCAGAATTGCGAGTAATAAATATGAGGTATTAGGAATTTAAAGCTTGGGTCTATTTAAAACTGCTGTTGATTATGAAGTGCTTTTTATGACGTCTTTTTGAAAGGGCTGCTGTGTGTTTCCAAATCGGTCATGTACGTGTCGGCACTGGTTCTGGTGCGTTCTTTTCGTAAAGATAATTTGATTTCGTTTTTGGGTGACTTTGGTGAACTTGTTTTAAAAACTTGGTTCGGATTTTGACTATCCCTGGGCGTTAGGTAATAGTTTTGGCTGTGGGCATCGGCGCGAGTAAAAAAGTAGTCAGAAGCTTCGTGGCGATGTTTTGGCGAAAATTCGGGCGAGTCCAAAACTTGTAGAGAAGAGATGAGACTTGTCGTACCTTCGAACGCTGGGTTCCTGATTGGTGAGTTCGTATCTTCTGTCAAGAAATTTGTAAGTGAAGGAAATCGTGTTTTACTAGCAGCCATCTCATCCATCTGTTTAAAAGTATTCGTTTTTGAAATATTTGTTTCATACTTCAAATGTTCAGAACCTGGCCTGATTATTACTGGTTTATTATTTGCAATGTTTTCAGAAGCTGGTCTGACGATCGGGGGTTTATTATTTACAATTGTGTTGTGGATGTTGAAAGACTGCGGTCGGTGGATTTTTCCAGCGAGGTTTGAAGTAGTTCCTTTATCTTTTACACCGTTTTCAGCGACCTGCGCAGTTAGCGTATTACTCCGCTTGTTTGCGGCAGGAAAAGTAGTACTCTCGTCATCCGAATCCGCATCGAGATAAGCGGTCGGTAAACAAATAACAGCCGTTTTATTCCGGCTTTGTTGGGCGTCTTGCGTATTCATTGCATTCAGCGAGCCTTTTTGTAGAAATGTATGTACAGTAATGGGCAATATATCCTGACTTGGTTCAGGGGCGTTAACTCTTTTGGTATCAGGAACGATTACTTCAGTGTGACTAGATAGCTTGGTTAGACCCGCGGTGAATTCAACACGATCTGTTGTTGTTTTGTGAGTGAGTTATCGAACTTGGGTTGTTGTGAACTTCATTGGAAACTGTTGGGACAAGGGTCAAGAATCGGTGAAGACGGAAAGGTTTTTTGATCCGGTTCTCTGACTGTTCGAATCTAGGAGTTGACCGCCATTGGAGGGAGGCTGGCCTTTTTAAAGGGTCAGAGTTGATGTTGTAGGTGGTGTAGTCCGAATATTTCGCCAGGGAGTGGTGGCTGTGTGAACGATTACCCTCCGGCGGCCATTTACGTTGGTTATTCGGGTCAGGGAGGGAGTGTGTGGTTTTGGATTTTGTGTTCCGCAGAGGCGTCTTCGCTGGCTGGGATTTGGTAAATGTGGGCGTGTCCGGAACACCGCCGGAGTAGCTGCCCTTTAATTGGTCAAACGTTATCTCCCTTGTTCTCTTGATAGAAAAATACTTTACGGGTGACGCAACTGTGTCGTGTTTTTTGTCTGTTCTAGAACTTTCTTCGTGATCCTGAATGTCCAAGAACGCAATCACGTGGTTTATGTTAAGCTTATCGGGGTCATTGTCTGGAATGGGAGTTTTACTGCGCGGAAGTTCTTTCACGTTCAGCTTTAACCTTCTGAAAGTGCCTTCAGGTCTGGTGCTGGTCTGAGGTTCCATACTGTGTAGAGGTTTGACCGGCACTGAAGCACTTTGTAAAACCTCGTCTTCAATCATCAGCTGAGGTTCCTCCGACGTGTAAAACGTGGTTGTTGGTAAAGTTGTTGGCACCTTGCCCTGCCTACTGACAGACTGTCTACTGGGAGACGACTCTAGATGCCCAGCTGTCTTTGTGTTAAAGTTATCTAATCCATGTTTTTGCTCACTTCCTTCTACCGATGCATACAACTTCAGATCTTTAGCCTCGGGCCTGTTTTTATTACCCCGTAAAATCCGCTCCGAATGTGTCCTTATCAGCTTTTTCCGCTGGGCAGCTGCGTGATACGCTACTAAGTTATACGCCTGTGACGACTCACGTGGTTTGACGCATGCGCTTTGTGACCGAGCTGTTTCGGTGTTTGTCCGGGTCACCGCTAGCACAGGGAAATTCTTGTTCTTGCTGGTTTCATGTCTATTTATAGGGTTTCTCGAGGTGTTTGAATCTGCATGGTTGCTGGAAAAAGGCAGAAGTTGTAGAACTGCTGGCTGGCATCGCGTGGTAAATATTGAACCATTGTCCACGTTCATCGTAAGGAAAGCACTGCCTCTGAAACAAATAAAAAATATTAAAAAGCTATCGTTTTTTTTAAACATGATCAACATACATTATTAAAAGTTTTTAAAGTATGTTTCTGTAATCTTTGACCAGATATTTTAATTGGGGTCGTCCATAAATTACGAAACGCTTTTTAAACGATGTTTACCTTCACCTCGGTCACACATCGTCACAAAAAGCCAGACCCCCCCCCCCAATCCCCAAAATGACGTCACACCTCAGCCAGCAACCCCCCCCCCCCTCAAAATTGCAATTATTTTTTTAACAGATTTTTTTTTCTATTACGATTTATTAAAACAGTTTTCTAAAAAGAGAGGAAAAAAGCGGCTAAAATTCAGTTTCTAACATTACTTTTTTATAAATGCAAAAGTGTGACGCCACACAATCTGAATTCCCCATCATCACACATGGTCACAAAATTACGGACCCCCCCTCCCCATCCCCCCCCCCCACTTACGAGCGTGACGTCATTTATGGATACCCCTTGTCCAAGTACCTAAAATCTAAAACATCAGTAGGCTTTTAGGAGAGTACAGGACAGCTACCAGTGCAGCAAGACATCGGAAAAGAAGGTGGGGATGTATAGGTCTAATGTTTAGGAAACCGGCTACAAGTATTAGCAGACAAGGCGTATCAAAGAATCCACATGGATCAAGTAAAAACGAAGACCCCATTGTAAAAAGCACCAGGAGTAGAGAACAAAATTAGAATTATCGCGACAAGTCGGAAAGAAATGGGAAAAAAATAGCAAAGGAAAGAAAATCATGGAAGAATGTTGTAAACGGCCTATGTGCCAGTGTGAGTTGGAATTCGCAAAGAAGGAGAATCTTTGTCCAAATTAGCCTACAATACTACAAGACTACACCAACGGTATTTTTTTATCGCCTCAAATTACATTGCATTACATTAAAATAGAAAAAAAAATCAATCATTGAATTTGATCAACATAAGTGTCAAATTAATTAAAAAGCTGAAAAAAAAAATCAGCGAAGCGTCATAAGGGCCGAATCCTCGAGTTGTTTCGTCTTATTCAGTGAGGGTCTAACGGTGGGTGGGAGATCTTTGACGTGGTCTACACTTTTTTTCTCTGAACAGATCAGCGCGTTTGAATGGATCGTTTGTAGGGACGTTCCTTGATTGAATTTAGTTCGGTCGACTGCAGGAAGATTTGGTGCTGTGTGGAAATCATTAGGCTAACAAGTGGTGGGAGGGGGGGGGACGTTATTAGGCTTGCAAGTGGGGGTGTGACGTTATTAGGCTTACAAGTGGGGGTTAGGTGGAGGGGAGGGGGTGACGTTATTAGACTTTCAAGTAGGGGTGTGACATTATTAGGCTTACAAGTGGTGGTTAGGTGGGGCGGACGTTAATTAGCCTTAAAAATGGGCGTTTGGTGTGTGTGTGGGGGGGGGGGGGAGTGACGTTATTAGCCTTACAACTAGGGGTGTGACGTTATTAGGCTTTCAAGTATTAGGGGGGGGGGGTGACATCTAGAAACGTCCAAAATACCTGCATGTTTTTGTGTTGTGTATATTTAAAACATCATCGACGCTAGGCGGGTGCGGGGGGGGGGGGGTTGGACGGTTTAATGGGTGAAACCAAATTTTAAAAAGCGTATAAGGAATTGTCAAAACCATGATTTATATAGTTAAGATAATAAAATATTTAGTGAAGAGGGGTGACGCCAGGTCGAAAATTGATTGAGGCAGAGGGTCGACACAATCAATTATCGCACCGAGCTAATGACGCCACTGATTTTTATGTTGGTAAAAAAATAGTTTTACATGCAACATTTAATGTGTATTAACGCTTCAATATGAATTTAAACAAAATTATTACAAATTACTCAAAATATTTTTTAATAAAATGCTACGGTATTTTTTAAAGAGAGAAATAGTGGTAGGGAAGTAAGCCTGTTCAATGGTTCGTTCATGGCACGCCACCTGGCAATAACATTGTTCAGAAATTAAACGCTTAACTGGCCAGTGTGTGAACAAGTGGTGGGCCTATCGCACGAAAGAAATCAGCCATGACTTCAGTTAGATCAAAGCTAGGCGAATCCCCTAGAGGAGAGAGTTTTCTCCCACGTATCTCGATTAAAACCCTATTAACGTTTGGACTGTTGAAATTCTGCGTTAGGTGTTCACGATCAATCACACAAATTACGTTCACGTACATGGGAAGGGGCGGATCAGTGTACAACAGATTTGGTCCTCGTTCGCATCCAACACGAACCGATTGATGATTGGTTCGTTTCTCGGTTTTATGACGTATTTAAAAAAAAATGAAGCTGCTGTAGCTTGTGTTACTTTATGTTGATCAGTCAAGATGATTGGTTAGTAATATTTTATTAGATGAGCCCGGGGGTGGGTGGGGGTTGAAGCTATTTTATTGGTTACTAATACGTTGAAGAGGGGGGGGGGGGGGGTGAAAGTTAATATCTGCTCATCTTTGAGTATAGCGTTTCTTTCAGGCATCGCCCCCCACCAGAAAGCACGTCTACCTCCCTCCTCCCCCCCCACCCCAGTGTTTCTTCAGACTTTTTTCTCCGGGGGGGCACTTGAAATTTTCGGGGGGGGGCGGTAGACTTTCTTCGGGGGGGGGGCGGACACTGTTAAAAGTATATATTTTCTATATAAATTATATAAATTTCATTTCGTTCGGGGGGCGGTAAAAAATTTTCGGCGGGCTTCGCCCCCCCCCCCCCCCCCCAAAGAGATGTCTGGAAGAAACTCTGCCCCCCCCCCACAACGAAATAGAATGTATATTCAAAATATAGACGTAAACCATTGTCCGCTCCCCCCCCCCCACTCAACACTAGTTTGATAGTAAATTGGGTGCATAGGCATACTTGTATCTAACCCTAACCCTACTCCTAAACCATAAGACAGCTAGTCTACGAGAAAAAACTATTTCTTTTGGTTTCTAGTTTAGTTAAAGAGAATGCTACCATATGTAAAATGAATGACATATATGCAAAAAATCGAAAACGGCTAATAAAAATGGGCACATTACAAACGGACTCTAAGTAGACATAGTGTTTTTATTTGCAGAAGTCGCAGACTGATGTCTAGTTGTTTCGTTATATTTGGCAGGTCAGTGTTGTTGTTTTTTAAATCTAGACAAAATTCGACATTCACAACCGATACAGAATCGAATGTAAGGTTTATTTATTCACGATGACGTCTTAAGATCGTGTGAGAAAACTAGGGATCAAGCAACCGGTCTATGAAATAAACATGTATGGGAAAAGCATGAGAAGGTATGCTAATTAGGAGCTTAGTGATTGGCGGTTACGAGACGACTTATTAAGATGTGAGTGAATGTGGTTGTCAGGGAAGCCTGGTCCGTGTGCTCAATAATTAATTTATGACGTCATGTGTTGTTTATATGGAGTGTGTAATTATGCGATGTATGTCATTATAGAATTTACGTACATTATGTCTGAAATTATTTGTTGTCTGTTGTTATATAGTATCTACTCTGTAGCTGTATTGATGTGAAGTTGTTGTTATATATTTCTATTTATATGATGTTTGTATTTATATATTTGTGGTTATATGATTTTTGTACGTATATGATGTTGGCATTGATATGTTTATTGTTATTTAAGTGTTTATTTGATATGAAGTTTGTATAAGTTTGTATTTATATGATGTTTATAGATATATGAGATTATGTAGTTGTATGAAGTCTATAGCAATGTCATGTAGGTACTTCTTTGATTGTAGTTATATAATGTTTTTAGTTTTATGTAGTTATACGATGTTTTAGTTATATGATTGAGGTACTTCTATACTTGTAGTTATATGATGTTTTAGTTGTATGATTGTGGTACTTCTATACTTGAAGCTATATGTTGCTCAGTGCTATGACAAATGAACTGAGAAGTGACACAAACCAAATGACTAAGTTATAATTAATGTAATTAAAAACGTCTCTCGTTTTGATCTAGGTTCTCCATGTCTTAAATCACGTATGTAATGGAACTCGAGGCCATATTAAACTGTTTCATTAGACCAATAAGTAATCAACGTCACCTGTTTCCCTTTGCATTGACGCAGGTGTTTTACCTGTGTGTATGAACATGATAACGTGTTATATGCAATTAGTCCATATAGCACGTGTGCTCATGAACATAATAACGTGCTGTATGCTACTAGTCCATATAGCACATGTGTTCATGAACATGATAGCGTGTTATATGCTACTAGTCCATATAGCACATGTGTTCATGAACATGATAGCGTGTTATATGCTGCTAGTCCATATAGCACATGTGTTCATGAACATGATAGCGTGTTATATGCTACTAGTCCATATAGCACATGTGTTCATGAACATGATAGCGTGTTATATGCTACTAGACCATATAGCACCTGTGTTCATGAACACGATAACGTGTTATATAAAACTAGTCCATATAGCACATGTGTTCATGAACATAATAACGTCCTATATACAACTAGACCATACAGCACCTGTGTACATGAACATGATAACATGCTATATTCAACCACGGCTCGTTAGAGCTGAGATATGATCTGTTCTATTAACCCATTGTTATGAGATCAGATTGATTAATGTCATTAGCACCTGGCGTACTTAGCTCTAATTGTTGAGAACGTTTGCCTCAATAAAACAGCGAGAATTATTATGAAAACTCAGCTATTTTAAGGGTTTCAAACGTTGTAAACGAGAATAACCTCAACCCCCCTTCACCATAGATCCTCTTATTGCTAGCTATAGCCTACGTGTGTGTGTGTGTGTGCGTGTGTGTGTGCGTGCGTGCGTGTGTGGTGTGTGTGTGTGTGTGTGTGTGTGTGTGTGTGTGAAAAGAACGGGGACGACGACGACATAAATGACGTCATAACCTTGAGAGAGTGATGTCCTGACTTTCGTGACGATGGGGGACGAGGGTTAAGAAGAATCAAAATCATGTGTGATGTGGCATTTATTCAGTCTATCTTCATGGTAGTTCCGCCCCTGTGCTA